GTGCAGTGATTCCCAAACTTTACAGCTTTTGACCCACAAAATAACAGTAGCAGAGACCTGTGCCCCCAGCTATTTTTGAATGATAAACATTTGTATCAGGTCAACAAAACATGGGCATAGTAACAATATTTTTATACTACATTTATCCATTTTAAATACACCAACCTCACTACTTTGTAACAACTAAGGCAAAAATGTAACTAAATCAGAAAATCTTTTCAGGACCCCACCTTGATGTTTCGGGACCCCATTTTGGGTCCCGACCCCAACTTTGGGAAACACTGCCTTAGACTACTCAGAGCCAAGCATTGGCCTAAGTAGTGCAAAGAGGTCTCTGATTCAATGCCGCAGGCATCACACAGACCATTGTCTTGGAGTCCCATCACCATTTTATGGCGGTTGAGCAGATTGTGCCCAGTTAGGACTCRAACCAGTGTACTTAAAGTATTCCTTGTCAAGGCAAGAAGGGATTTTCCAAATCCATGATTTGGGCCGTTTATCAGTTCCCGTGCCTGTCTACAATCTGTCAACTCCCTCCATCGGATTGAGTAACTCAAGTCAAACTGTTTCATTAATAATATAATGTAACATAAGATTTTCAGGCATGCCTCACATCTCAGGTTTGCAGACACACTGAGATTTTATAGGCTTCAGAAAAAAGAAAAACGAGAGAAACAGCTCATCAGGCAGATTTTTTTTAATTTTTTCAATAAGATCCACTAATAAGACTTAAAACTTAGCTAAAAACTATTTTACTTCCCCAATGTTTCATTTGCAATAAACTGGAAAAATAAAAATAAGGAAATCAATGGATTTTGGGGGGGAAAACACGAGAAAACACATCTCTCTTTGGAATATAAAAGTAAAAGAGGAGTGGCTGTGAGTTGGGGAGTTGTCCTGTAACCGGTGGGTTGCCGGTTCAATCCCCCGTTCCAGCCATCTCAGTCAATGTGTCCATGGAGAAAACACTTTCCCCTCCTTGCCTGCTGATGGTGGTCAGAGGGTCCAGTGGCACCTGTTGACTTTCTGTCAGAGTGCCCCAGGGCAGCTGTGGTGATGTGATCACCACACTGATGAGTGATGAGTCCTATCACTGTAGTGATGAGTCCTATCACTGATAGGACACATTACTACAGTGTTAGGACACATCACTGCAGGGATAGGACACATCACTGCAGGGATAGGACACATCACTACAGTGATAGAACACATCACTACAGTAATAGGACACATCACTGAAGGGATAAGACACATCACTGCAGGGATAGGACACATCACTACAGTGATAGAACACATCACTACAGTAATAGGACACATCACTNCATCATTATACACCATAAACACAAAGACAAACAAGCATACCAAATTTCAGGAAGGCAGCATTTGCAAAATAGGACGTCTAAATATGAGCACAACAGAAAGTGTCCAGCAGATGGCAGACAAGATTACTGTCAAAATGTAACACTCTAACACAGGGGGGTCGAATTCACAAGGGGGCGATATTTCTACACTTAGTCCAGATCAAGAGCCAATTTCTGTTAATATTTATTGAAGCAAAAGCAAATTATTCTTATTATGCTAATTTTATTTTCCAAATTATGGTTTATGTTCCATTTAGAGCACACAAAAGCTGACAAAAAGATTAAATTTAAAAATAACTCATTGTTAGCATTGTAGGGGTCACCTTGAGTGAAGAAACAAGATTTACTGCCTCGAAGCAGGCCTCGGACAGGCCTGGATAAATTGGATGACAGGTGGGGTTTGACTCTGGAAACATGGAATGTCGGGTGGATTCTGGAGCTCTTGGGTAACTGGAGGCGGACTGCAACAGGGTTGATGACTTTGGATATGGGAAATGGACCGATGAACCTGGGTGCCAGTTTGCGATTCTCCACTCTAAGAGGGAGATCCTTGGTGGAAAGCCACACTTTTTGGCCCACCTGGTAGTTGGGCTGAACTGACCGTTTACGGTTGGCCGTGCGAGAGTAGGTGGCTGAAGTCTTGGCAAGAGCCTTTCTGGTTTTGGTCCATATCCGCTGGCAACAATGGGCAGCGGCGTGGGCGGAGGGCACTTCGGCAGGTCTTTCCTGGAGGTTGAAAGCCATAAACAGTATAAAAAGGTGAGAGACAGGTGGCTGATGAGGGTAGAGAGTTTATGGCGTGTTCCACCCAAGGTAGATTATTAGACCACTTGGAAGGGTCTGTACTGCACAGCAACTGGAGCTTGGTCTCTACCTCTTGGTTGGTCCTCTCCGTCTGCCCATCGGTTTGAGGGTGGAATCCAGATGACAGGCTGACTGTGACACCCAGGAGGTCGCAAAGCTCTCTCCAAAAGCAAGAGATGAACTGAGGACCCCGATCTGAGATGATGTCCTTCGGGACGCCGTGCAGTCTGAAGACTTCCCTGACCAGAATCTCACCAAGTTCCTTGGCAGTAGGCAGTTTCTTGAGGGGGACTAGATGAACCA